GAATGAGTAAACACCACTGCCCCATGTAGACACAAACACCACCACCCACTGCCATGCCTTTCCACACCCACGACACCACCACCAAGCCTCCATTACTCACAGTATCGAATCTAAAACATTCAATCAAAAACATCACAGTTGACAAATACCAGATTGATGACAAATTGAAGATCACAAAAGGTTGAACCATGGCAGTTTTGCGTAGTGGTTCGACATGACATCTTTTATATATAAGTAAAAGGGTTTGAGGACAAGTTAATTTGTAAATTTTTATCTGCATAATTCACTACTTTTACCGTGAACATTTTTCATGTTTTCTGTCACTATTGTGACTATCACTTTTGCGGCTGCTGAACGGATTCACTATTGCGACTATCACAGTGAATATTACATACAAACCTCTTAAAGTTTGTAAGTCCGTAACACTTACACTTTTACCGTCAATGTTCATATATCAATTAATAAATTATATTCAGACTCCCTGAAATTAGTAGGCTATAATTTTTAGATTTCTCAAGTTTAAAATGTTATATTTAGACCACAAAAACTCCAAATAAAGATACAATATCTAATATTTTAATTTTTACAACTAAAATTCATGTTATATTTTATCATTCATTGAAATAAAATCAAAAATAAAAATCTAACTTTTTCTAAAAAATCGTAATTAGTATACAATTATATTATCTATTGGAATAAATTTAAAAAATCAAACAATGGGTCAAACTGTAATGGATACAATATCTTCTAGCTTTAATTGTAGTAATTTGGTCATTTAAATGATCAAATTAAATTCTAATAGATAGTATAATTGTATATGAATTATGATTTTTTTAATAAAAAATAAGATTTTTATTTTTGATTTTTTTTCAATAAATATTATTATAGAACATGAATTTTTGTTCTAAAATTTATAATATTTGATATTCTATATTTGATTGGAGTCTTTGTAGTCTAAATATAACATTTTAAACTTGAAAGGTCTAAGTATTATACGCTTATAAATTTTAGGAGATTTATATATAATTTATTAATGGATATATTAGTGGACAATGGATATATTAGTGGACATTGATCGCAGGGATCTAAGTGTTAAATGCGTACAAACTTTAGGAGGTCTGTGTGTAATATTTCAAATATTAGGGAATCTAAGTGATTAAATGACAAAGCTCAAGAGATCTGAGTGTAATTCTTCCTAACAATTAAGGAAGTCTTCCGTATTGCTATATTTACTAAGTTTTTCATTTCAAGTGATGAGATATAATCTTTATCATTAAATATTAACGAGACCCATTTATTTAGTGGTAAAAATTATGTTACATCACTTGAGATGAAAAGTTTGATAAAAAATCTTAATCATCGTGGCGTTAATAAAGAATCGCGATCAACATAATATTAATAAAAGATCTTGACTAGTATAATATTAGTAAAAACTGTGCCACAACACTACAACTCCAAACTCTTCTTCCCCTCTCTCTCTCTCTGTTGTAAAAAATAAAAAATTTAACTACCAAGGCCAATGATGGTCAGGCTCTCTCTCTCTCTCTCTCTCTCAAAATAAAAAATGCAGCAACCAAACTCTTCCTCCTCTCTTTCTCCAAACTTAGTCTCAAAACCTCGTCAATGTCCTCTCAACCACTCTCTGGAGGCATATAATTCTCAGTGTATTTCTAAAATGCTACGGACCTGGAAATCTAGTACTCAGCTTGAATTCATTCATTTGGGGACCAGCCAGAAAAGCTTCATGTTGTCACAAAAACTCATTTTTAATGTTATGTGCATGCTCTTGTATCTCCTTCCAAGCCTTGATCACATGGCAATAGTCTGTAAGTGTTGCTCCAACAGCAAGCCTTATCACGTACACTCCCCCAACCACAGCATGTGTCATGTACACTCTCCCGGTTGCATTAACGGATTCCAAAAGCTTTTTGTTGAATTCATTTGCATCTCCTTCACCTAAAAGCTTCTGAGTAGCCTTATTCTATTTGTTTTTTTTTTTTTATAGATAATAGTAAAGGAGAATCACACTATAATATCCTAAGTTTTAGGAACACTAATGATAAAATTAAGTGTTATTGTTTTATAATTTTAATTTTTATTAAGTTTTTTTTTCTTATAGAGAATATTTGATTGGTTTATTAAAAAAATTGGATTGTCAAAAAACTTTGGCTACTAAAAAATAAAAATTAAGATACGAGGAACTTAAAAAAAGAGAGAAGAATACAAAAACTTATTAAATCACAAAAAAGATCTTTTAATAAATTTATTGTTAGTAATAAAAAATAATAAAAGATTTAAGTGAAAGTTTTGAAATAAACAAGTGATAGATCTTAAATAATTAGAAGATATTAAAATTATATGATAAAAAAATAACAAATAAAATTATAAGATGATGGTTGATAATGTAATATAATAATTTCTTGATCATGAAGAACATACAAAAAAATTTATTAGTAATTTTTAATTTTAAAAATTAAAATAAATAAAAATTATATTAATAATAAAAAATAAAAAAAACCCTTGCTTAGAATTCTCGCTTTAAGCCCCAAAATAGCTCGGACCGCCTTTGGCAAAGAGCTGTCCTTTGGGAGAAGAAAATGGAGAGGGAATGGGGAAGTTTATGTAGTATTCGATTGAAATATAACTGGACATTTGTAAGGCTTTTTTGGCTGCGACTGTTATCTCTAAGTCCTTGTCATCTTAGGGCTGAGGGGTTGAGACAGGACACACACACCGGTAGGGTATGAGGTTGACTCCGGAGCAAACCGCAAACTGAGTTACTTTTAAAAAAGTGTCATTATAAATAACGCGTTTGAGGGTGATAAACGTGAGTTGGGGGCAGTAGGTTGGACACCATGACAAGAACAAAAAAGGACTTACCTTTTGCATCTTCAGAAAGAAAAAAATACAAGAAATTTATAGCAATTGATGTATCATAACAATAGAATTGATAAAGGGTACCAATTGATAGTAGAGTCTACTATCAATCTAATGACAAAAAATGATAAAGTCATCTAATAAAGTTACTAAATAAAATCTATGTAGCATTTGTCGTAAAAAAAAAATAGCACATGACAATGAATAATTTCCACCTATTACATTGTCATTTTTTTTTCTTAGAAAAATCTAACTTATATGTCCTACAAATTATTTTTATGATAATTTTTCATTGGATGTACACCCCGGTGACGGTACAATAAGGGCTTGTTTGGTTGCCGTATTATAAATGAATGGATTGGATAAAATAATATAATCTAATACAATACAGATGGATAAAATACAAGATTAAATTTGATATTAGAATAATATGTAATTTTATCTAGTGTTTGGTAATACAAAATATAAGCATTAGATAATAATTATTTAATCCAATATGTTATTTGGTTAGAGAATTATTTCATCGTATTAATGTTAAATTAACAAAAAATACCCTCAATCAGTGTTTGTTACATTGATGACAACTTGATTTTATCACTTTGAGAGTTATAATAATAAATGTATCAAATAATACGTTTGAATTAGATTATTATACCACATATTTTGGTGGTATTAAAAGACCTCTATAAAAAATATACGATAAGTATACAATTAATATACATTTTTAAAATTAATACGGTATCAAATTTATTTACTAAACAAAATATTAAATCCGATTAAATAAAAAATAATATAATTCAATATTTAATCTCCTCGAAACCTATGTGTGCACACACGAGGACTTAGCCACCTGAATGATATGTTGGTTCTGGTATGGGTTCCTTGCTCCATCAAGCATTGACAGCAACATCTCAGAGCAGAACATGATTCTCATTGGCCACGTGCTCAACGAGATTTTCGATCTAGGGATTCAAAACTCTTCGTTGGTAGCGTGACAACAATATTTAGAGGTTGCTGATTCAAGTCATGTCATATTGTTCTCGTGTTGAATTATTTTGAATCATGAATTTTTGGATTGTGTTATTAGAATTTTTATCGTGCTCATGTAAGTATTGTTGTTAAATAAAAAAGTTCAATGTTATTTAAACTTAATTTATTGACATATTCACTATAACCCTTGACTTAACTATAGATCCTATCAAATATTAGAAGTTAATGTTAATCAATCGGTTACAATAAAATCACATTATTAGTTCAGTAAATTAGTCACAATAGCATTACTCAAAAAAAATATTTAATTCTAAAGCGACTCATATGATATTCTATAAAAAAAATTATAAAATGCATTTTAAAAATAAGGGTGATAATCGAGCCGAGCTATTCGGGTTCGGCTTGTGTTCTAAACGAGAAGAGTTACTCGGGTTCGGCTCATGTTCTAAATGAGCCGAGGTTAGATAATTTTTTAGGTTCATTTATATGTAAAATAATTGAACAACTCGAGCTCGGCTAGGGTTCAAAATTTTTTTGGCTCTGCTCGAGTTCAACTCATTTTCTAAATGAGCCGACATTGAACAATTTTTTAAACTCATTTAAAAAAAAGAGCTCAACAGGCTTGACTTGATGTTTAGCCATATTTATAATGCTAGTTAATCGTGATATTCATATCTTATATTTCTCTTGATTTCGTTTTGTGTACTTGTGGATAGGTAAAATTGACAGATCTACAAATAGATGTTTCTCGTCAGCTAGGGTAGTGGCAAAACATTATTGAGCAATTCACGTATCACTTGATATGGACGACTTCTGTTTTTCTGCCGGACCACAATCTTGACCTCCGATCGAGCTACGAATACAAGTAGGTAGGTGGCTAGGTAGGGTAAGGGAGAGAGGCGGCTAGGTTGTCTTTTCAATCAATCTCTAGTCGCTTAGTGTCGCTATTGATGCTAGTTGTAAAGAGTCTTGGTGTCAAGTTAAGTTAAGGTATCATTTCACTCTCGTAACGGGAATGAGTGCACTGCAAGACTAGACAAATTGCTCCCCCACCTCACAGCAGTATCATCTGTCATTTTCTAAGACGTTTGGCTCCTCTTATTATTTGAAAATAATGGCTTCATTGTGGCTTTTGTATTCAACTTCAGTGTCAAATGGACTGTGATAAGGGTAGAATTTTGGGCATGGGCCGCCATCAAGACCGAAGCCCAAAACGCCATGAGAAACTGAAGGCAGAGTCCATTGGCCCAAAATAAAGCGCCTCTGATTAACCCATGACAAAAAGCTGGAAGGGCAAGGCCCAATGGGTGCCCGAGGGGTAGCAGTCTAGCCTTGGCCCAATCAGGTGCTAGCTAAAGGGCAATTTGAGAAGGAGGAATCAGATCTTTGCCCCGAAGTCATCCTGCCATGCCACGCATCTAGATGACAGGGGGACCATCTCTGAAACCTGTGATAGCTACACCCTCCCGCACGCAGAAGATGGTGGAGCATAACGCCCCAGAGATCGTGGGCGCAGTGGCGCCAGCTAGACAAGACTTTTGCAGGACAAGGATAGGAGGTCCCCACGGGATCGATAAAAAGGTAGAAGAAACCGCTAAAAACTACAAAAAAGGCAATCCTATATATATATAGAACAGTGCCCTACAGGAAAGTGAGGCCCCAGAGAACACTTTTCAACCTTTTACACTCTGTAAGCAAAACACCAATCCTTGTCAAGGCCCAGCGCCTGTATCCCAACTGTATACATTGGAGGTTCAATACACAACATCAAGGAGCAAGTGACTCCATTACAGTGAACGTAACCTTGGTCTATTGGTTAAGATGAACAACTTATCTTCTGTGTTTTTTCCTTTAATATATAATCTAACTTTCCAAATCAACCCACTCACCAGGCTTAATAACATCTCGTAAGTTGGTCTTGGGCTGTAATTTCCAAGACATCATCAGTTGGTGTTGTCTGTGGGAAATGGTATCATCGTTTTCCTACTTGAGTTTTTATTTATTTGATGGTTTCCACTCGAAACATGAGTAAAGCTCCCTCCAACCCTCAAGCCTACCAAAACTTACTAGAGAGTTTCCCAGTCCCTAAGGTAGATGTCGAGGACCATCCCCCAGAGGCGAACCTCCCCCTGCTCGATGAACTAGACACCTACTACCAAACTACAATGTAACTGATAAAGTAGAACCAGGAGCTGATGAAGTGGATACGAACACATCAACTCCCTTTTTTTCCACCAGCTTAACAAGAGCTCCCTCTACTCCCGATAGAACGCGACACCCTTCATCAGGAGTGCCAAGCCCCACCAAACGGAGTCACCGAGCTCCATGAGAGTAGTTACTTTGGAGAAAATCACCGGAGGAGGAACTCTGAAGAACAAGACGAAGATGAAGCCCATAGTTGGGCTAAAGCAGCCTTCTGGCATGACAGACCCCATCCCTCACTAGAGGCTGACAATCACATGTGGGAGCGAAAAGTCCGTGAGCTCCAGCGAGAGTTGGGCAACGTGAAAGAGGTGGTTAAGGGAAGGGCCCCCAACACCATGGACGCTTTACTCCAACAAATCGAGTCGTCATTCCCCCTCGAGGTCCTTCATTTTTCTCTACCCTAGAAGTTTCGGATGCCGTTGATAGAGGCGTTCAACGGGACCAAAGACCCGGTTGACCATTTGAATTCTTATAAGAATCAGATGGAACTCCAGGGGTATCCAGACCCGATTCGCTGCCGAGCTTTTGCCATCACCCTGAAAAGGGTCGGTAATAGCTTGGTTTAACAAGCTACAACCAACATCAATCTCCTCCTTCAGGGAACTATCAATACAATTTATGTCACACTTCATTGGAGCAAGGGCATACAGGAAACCGTCATATCACCAATTGAGCGTTAAACAGGGACCTAACGAATCCCTCAGAAGCTACGTGTAACGCTTCAATCAGGAGTCTCTGAAAGTGGAAAATGTGGATGATAAGTTCGCATTGACCACCTTCATGTCAGGACTTGGAATATAATCCAAGGACCTCCTTTTCTCAATCGCCAAGAACCCACAGGCCACTATGGCCTAGGTGTTGGCAAAGGCTGAGAAATACATTAACGGCGAAGAGGCCCTCCGCTTGAAG